CATTATCAATTGTTTGGACAGCACCACTGTACAATGTATTTCTATGGGCTCAGCTACTGTGAAATGCTGCTGACGAGCCAAGAAAACGTCAAAAAAAACGACACAAATTCAACTTTGAGGCTATGCTAAGCAGATGACACATTCACAAGCGGCCTATTCTTATGTTGTATCGTCATCAACATTGGTATCACTGAGCAAGTGATGTAAACGTTGTTGCTTTCACAATTAGTGTCCAATTAAAGCAAATTTTATACAATAAATTCGTGGTATTGATAATTACACAAGTACTTGTGAATAATCCCAATTTATCAAATCAAATATGTTTATGACATTGTCCATTTAATACTTTTAATTTGTTTCAGAAATATATCAAAGACAGAACGAGACGAAACAGTGATCAGACGACATGTCCGCTCTTCATTCAAACAGATCATACATTCTATGAAAAGTAAATTACCCATTTATTTGTACTTGATACTTCAAACTGTCAATAAGCGGTTTTGTGTTCACAACGAGATTGCAGGAAATACATGGACTGAACATCTTCTGCAAAAATTGAATGATTTAATTTCGAACTTGTTTTTTTTTTCGTAGCTCAATATCAAAATGCTGATCTTTCAGAGATATTCTTGCCTCATCAAAATTGACCATTATCATGTATAGCACATTTAATCAAGTGCAGAAATATGAAATATGCCAAAACTACATGTACTTTCGCGTTAGTCAAATCCCATGCAATGTTATAACATCACTAAAACTTGTTTGTTTGTCCTATTTTTGCTGTCGATTTCATGCATAATATTGGATCTCGCAGGGAATGTAAAATGGTGTATTTGTGATCATTACCATGACAACCGGTAACTATTATGGTGTGCACTGTTAACATGTACTTGTAAATGTGAGGTGAAGCACCTTACTTGAAGTTTCACTCATAACAGTGCTCCAAGACAAAAATTGATTCATACAGTGAATATCTCTTTCCTGAAAAAAATTCAGCTTCTCAGAGTTTGAAATATTGGACTAAGATTGTTAGTGTCTCTTACAGCTGTACTATTTACATTCTTAAAGCATTAACAGATCATTGTCGTTCGTGTCATACTTAATTGTGACCTCCTGAATCACCCTACTGGCATTACATGTTTATATGCTTTATATTTAAAGTTTATTATTTACCGCATTTATATATTTTTTATAAAATCATAATATATATAAATACAAGCTCAGCACAAAACACAGAAAAAAATTAGGTCTGCTCTCGAGTACAATGGCGTGAACGTGCTGTTCTGGCACTTTCCATGGAACATTCAGTGAGGGAGATACGCGAGTGTGATTAGCAATATAGTTTTAACTTTCTGAATAGTGCAGAAAACAAAGCAGAATAATTATTATTGAGTCAAGTGAGGTCATACAAAGTTTGTTTGTTTTTCTAGTGTTTTTGAGTTGCGCTATGTTCACACGTTCACCGAATATGCACATCAGGGTAATTTGAATACTGTAGAATACTTTATTTCTGCTTGGAATTTATTTTCGCTATTTTCGCTGAAGAGAAGAAGAAAATAAAATCCAGCAAGTACACTTTTTTTCCTATGTCTCACATTCAACTCATCAAAAATCTTTTTCAGCAAAAATTAATTCCAGCTAAAATAAATTATTTCACAGTATTTAGTATTCAAATTACCCTGTGGCAGAGACTGATTGGATACACTCGACTGAATCTTGGAGAATGCTATTTATAGTCCGTGTTTTAAATATATAATTATGCTTGATTGACTTACATGTACGTGTACATTTCCTAACAGATATGGCAGCTATAAGGAGGTTGTAAGTGCAATAGCCAGTGCATTGGACGCGGTTAATTACATATACGGCAATACAGTCTTTGGTAGCTATACAAATATAGGATTTCTTGTAAAGAGAATCAGGGTATGTAGTGAACACTTTGTATGTATAGGATTTTTAAAAATGTATTACTCGTGTCTGTATCTTCATGGTTTGTTTTTGTTGTTCATTGTGTTGTAAAACTTCTTGTGGTCACAATAAATATTTTTATCCAACTTTCTTTCAAACTGGGATATTATATTAACCAATTTCGTATTT